TTCGCTGCACTTCTTTGCCTTCGCAACAAAGGAGACTTGCTTGGAATTCCGTTTGAAAAATTACAGCTGGCAAATAATTTACTTTTACACAAAGCCACCCGTGCTCAGAACAGGAAGCGTCAGAAGAAGGACCAACAGTTNCAGAGTCCTAACTAACAATTTGCAAATGTTGCAACCATAGAGCGTGCTGTATGGATCAGCATCTTTTCTCCCAGCCTGGGCAAAGTTATCCTGCCTGGGCCGAGATGGATCAAGGTGAGGGAGAACCTTACCTGTCCTTCTCTTGCCCACGGATGAACTAGAAAAGTACACGTGACAGCCCCCCCCCCAGGCAAGTTCCAAGACCGTTTGTCGTATGACGAGTCTCCAAAAGTCCAGCAGGAGGAAACAATCCACAGCAGAGAAGCAGAAGATCCTACTTTTAAATCAAGAGGCAGGATACTCTGAGCACGTGGAAGCTTTGGAGGACTGAACTGGCCATGGGGACAGCCCAGGTGGAGTTGTACCCACAGATCTCGAAGGATGCGGTTGGAGCCCAGAGGCCCAAGGATTTCCCTTTGAGGCTCATCCATTGACAAGTTCTCAGCTGCCCTTGTAAAAAACCATTCTAGTGTTCCTTGCTTTGCCACCCTTCAGATCTGTAAGGAGAAGCCCATGAACTCAGCAGCCACGGCTGCCAGGTAATACCAGCTTTCATGCCATTTTTCAATGGCCTCACAAACCCCCAAAACCTTGTTGAAGACCCGTGCCTATCACCTGCGTAAGAGTTTTCCTACTGTTTCCATCCATCCACCCGTCCATCCACCCATCCAACGCCTTCCCCCTCTTTGCTTTTCAAATCGTCAATTCATGCAAAGTCAGATTTCTGTCTCAACATCTAAAGCTTCTATCTGGCATCAAGACCGAAAATGTAATTTTCATTCCTTCTGCTTGAATTGAATTGTTGTTATTATCTAGTTTTCCAGATGTGAAGGCCTGTCAGGCCTCTGCACCTAAATTTGTGCAGAAGGTTCGCCTGGCAAGCCTGAGAACCTGCTGTGCAGCTAAAAGAGGGGAAAATGTAATTTCTTTCTCCCTGACAATCAATGTCCCCTCGTTACGTCGGCTGTCCTGTCTTCGGAAATTTGCCCCTATTATTTCTTAATAATGTATGTAACGCACTAACAGCCCAAGAGGCTCCAGATTCTCATCTAAATCACAGACTCTTGCCAGAGATTAGATGTTATTTGACATCACAAGGACTGAAATTTTTAGTACAGCAGGCAGGATAATCTGGAGTGAATTATTTCTTCAATAAAGTATTCCTGTTTTGTAACAGGGAAGGGGGAGGAGGACCCACAATTACAGAGTGAATTATACCACCAGGGAAGACGCAGAGTTTCCAAGCAGCACATGAAAAGAGACGCATCTCCATTCTCTGCACAAATCATGTGCAAAGTTAGGTTTCAAAGCCTTCCCTGCTGCTGTAACGGATACAATTCTTTTCCTGTTATTATTAACGCCAAACATTTTTATGGTGCTTCAGAATGCTCAGATAATTTCATAATCATTTGTTATAATTGCTAGAACAAATAAAGAGGCCATCTTCATTGCATTCACAAGAACGGAGGAGAAGGTCTGTTGGATCACACCAAGGCCCATCCCAACCATAGCAGATGGATGAATCGGGGGTGCTTCTCTTCTGGGGAGGGAGGACTTCGTCCTTCTCCTGCCGTTCTCTCCTGAAACTGATCATTGAAGTCCTGCCGCCCATCCCTTCAGGCAGGGTGCCCAGAAATAAGAAATGGAGGCAAAGCTCTCTCCTACTCTTGTTCTGTTGCCTCCAAGAGCCCTCGGAGGTAACATGGGGTCTCCAGTAGCCCAGGAGGAATTGGTCCTCCACGCAACGAGAAATCCATCTCTCTGTGGTCCTCAGCTGCTTCTCCAGCCTCGGGGCTGGTGGTGTCAACAGATGCTGCTCCTTCCTGTTTAGTCAACTCTTCTACCCATCGCGAGAGGTGGGCCTCCATCCTTCCAAACCTTCTCGGATAGCCTCATCTACTGCTAATCCAAGGGAAGGCCGATTTCCAGTGTTGGACACCCAACCGGTTCTTGGACTTGGAAGAAATGGAAACTGACCTTGCATTTCCAGGAAGTTTTCTGTATTGTGTTGGTGTGATAATTCATCCTGCTGCTTCAGGGCTTTCATATTGCTCCAGGCAAAATGCTGTACCATAAATTATGGCACCTAAATCCGAGTTTGACCTATCGGTTGATGCATAATCAACTGAATTAATTTGAAATATTAACTACACAATATGGCTTAGAGGAGTTTTCCCCCTTCCATTGTCTTTCTAGCCACGCCACCAAATTCAATACCAGGCTCTCTCTCTTGCGCGGTTAAAAGCAAAATATAAATAAATCCTCCATCTTCATATTATATGCACAGAACCCACCAAGAGGAAGAAGGGCTTAGATGTGAGCTACATTCATGTTGAAACAAAAAAAACCTCCTCTATAATACATTTTTTTAAGCGGTGGTTCCTCTCTCTTTAATAAAAGAAATAAATTTCTGGAAGGAAGCATATGAACTGCCAGAGAATTCTAATAATAATTTAAGTCTTAAATCAGTATTTATATATTCTCTTTGATATATACCATTGGCTGTGAGAAAAATATTGAAGAGACATTTTTGTCTGCATTTGCTGAACAGAACTTGACTTGGGGAAAGAGAGAACTTAAATCGCCCCCTTTTAACCCCAATCTACCTCCCAAGATTGTTATGAAGATCAAACGGGGGGTGGGGGAGGGAACCTTCTTGCCAAAGGAAAAGGAGGATGAGAAGTAATATTCAGGGGGCAAATTGGGAACTAGTGGAAAGGGACCCGTTGTGGAAAGGTCTTCTACTAGGGACAAACTCAACTTGGCCAACAAGAGTCCAGGGTGACTGAAAGAGTTTTGGTGCTGCCTGAGACACTAGAGGTGGTAGCATAAAAGAGCAGAAAGGGAATTTTATGTTTTCACAGTGAGCTTGAATTGCCCTGCACATTTCAAGCAGGAGCAACTTCTACCCATCGAAATCTTGGCCTCATGCCTTGGGGAAAGTGAGCTGGTTCTTCACTTTCCTTGCGTAGCTTTTCAGCTTTCGGGTTGGACCATATTATCTGGACCAGGTTCTTTTGAGTTCCAGAGGAAACCCTTCCATTCATCCAGCCTTTCGGAGATCCCCACTGGCCTCTTTCCTTAGAAGAAAGTTCGCATAATTTACTGTCATCCCAAAATGTCCTACAGCAATGGTCACAGAACATTGAGCGGTGAAGTTATGATTGCTTGAGCTGCATCATTGTTAAAAGATGATAAAACCATATTGTCTGATCTGGTAGTTGGCCAAGAGCTTCGAGGCTAAAAAAAGGAAGAAAGAACCGCCTCTGTGGCAACAGAAACCTCTGGAAAGCAACCTTTAGATCTCATTTGGTTCTTCCAAGGCCAACTGGCTAAAGCAGCAGAGCAGAGCAGCCCCACCCCGCCAGTCTGCAGGATTTGCCCTTTTTAAAAACAAACAGACGGGCAAGAGGAGATTTGGTGATTCCCTTCTGGATCGAAGGAGGCCTGGCACCTCCAAGGGCTCCGATATATCAACGCCTCTCCAATCGTGCTGGCTACTCCTCACCAAATTTGGATGAATGATCATCTTCAGCCATCTGGTCCCCGTTTAAATTTTTAACCACCTCTCACTCGGAATTCTCTCCTGCCTTCCTTTATATTCCTTTTTAACTTAACAAATTGGCCATAAGCTAAACGGCACCATCTGTGGCTCCCAGTAAATACAACTGTTGTTAATGAAATTACTCAGCTTTATCCTTTTGCTTCGGAGCCTCCGGCCTGCTTTCCTGAGGACCTTTTCGCTGCTTGCCGTCCTCAGTTCACGGAAATCTTCGGGAATTTGGAAGCTCGGCCATCTAGATCGGGCGCTGGGAAATTACTCTCGGCACCCAGCGTGCTCAGCAGGGCGGGACATCAGGCTGAGCGTTTCTTCTGCTCCAGAGGACGGGGCGAGGCTCCCTTTGTGTCAGGCTCCAGAGCAGGGCCCTGTCTTCTCACCCCTGCCTGGGTCACTCTGCCTTCTGGCCTTCTAGCAGGGTCCCAATATTTGAGGGGCTGACACAGAGGAGAGGTGGTCAACGTGTTCCCCAAAGCACCTGAAGGAGAAGACGCAAACTAAAGGAGAGAGCCAAGGAGACATTTCCTGAGAACGATTCATCAGTGGAACGGAAGTTGCCTCCAGAGGTGGTGGNTAGATGCCGGGATTCATCTGCTTGCCAACTTTACAAATTCTATCATCTTATCACTGATCCGTTTCATCAGGGGAGTTAAAGATCTGTCTTATAAAAACAAAATCTATCTCCATTGCCCCAATGACGTTCCATTCCTTCCTTCCTTCCTTCCTCCCTTGAAATGTTTGTACAGCTTCCAAGTTTGATTCAGTTATGCACCAGGCATTATTTTTCAGCCTTTAGTCAACAATAGTCTGGGAATAAAACCAAACAATTGTGACATATCGGTGCTAAGATTTTTAAAGCCACCAAACACTCCTCTGGAGAAAGCACACATGGGAAGGCCTCAGGGAGGGGGGGAACCCCAGAAAAATTTGGGGGGGGGGACAGTGTTTTTTCCTTTTTTCCCCAAAGCCATTTGGAAAAAAACTGCTTCCCCCCACTTTTTCTAGTTTTTTCCAGGCCATCCCACTCCATATTCCAGGTACATCCATGTGCAGTCACAAGAAGTGAAGTTTCGTAACTGCTACACACAGGCCTTGTGGCTTTATGCAACTTGTTCTTAGCACACAGAAGAAAGGCTGAAGTATCCGCCGTAAAAGTGAGGAAATGCTACCCTCTTGTGGAAAGCAATAAAGGCCGATTTCCGAGGGTTTGACTGGTGACTCTCAAACCACACGTCCCGGTTGCAGGTGGAGTGAATTGTGCAGCCCCATTAGCGTTCTTCGACGGCATCCACAGAAAGAGTTGCATATAAAATATTTTTATTTGGCAGTATACGTAACAAAGGTAAACACAGGAAAATAGTACATTTTCTGTGACCAACAGCCAAAGTCCCTGAGTGAACTAGGTAAGTTTGAAGACGTCTATCTGCTTCACTCTGATCTGGCCATAAGAGTTTCTGCCTCATTTAAAGTTCGACGTTAAGAGCCTAAGATTATTTAGGCATTGATCCTGCTGTTTTGTAAATAAGAGTTTGTGCTACTGTGTTTTTCCGTGGGGCAGTGATTCCAGCCTAATCTGACTGCAACTGCTGGCATATAAATCTGTATCTTGTTCGTTGCAAACTCTTTTGGCACTGAAGGATTATTCTGGGGTGTAAATAAGATGTGCTGAGATTATAAACGGAGCTAATAATGTCATTAACCAGTTCCGGCCATGTTGATGTTAATACTAGCATGTTGTGAGTATGAAGGTGCCACCTAAAAAAAAGAGAGCAATCCCCCCACCCCCCCAAACACAAATCATTGGGCCTAGGAAATATTGAAGGTGGAGCAGAAATGCCTCCATGGCAGCCCATCTGATTTACTACGTTGCCTCCAAAGAGGACTTTGGCAGGAATAGTTGGAGGAGTCTTTCTCAGAGGGGTTGAGCCACACGGGGCCTGATCCCTGGCGAGCGCCTGGGTGCTGCTGAACCCCAAGCTAAACTTCACTGGAGGAGAGATAAGGGAGCTGAGAGGCAGTGGGAGTTGAGGGTGGTGGGCTTCCAACCTCTGCGTTTGGTGGTGTGAGGTGGAACGTGTTGGCTCGTTCTTTTAAGCCTAGGTATTTTTCTGTGTCGCCAGAGAATCTGGTGGAAATGTGCAGAGAATTTGTCTTCTAAGCCAAACTTCTGTATCTCATAAATCTAAATAAGAGCGATGAACATAATTAGGCATTCTTTACTGACCGGCCTGAAGAAGGGAGGTCTGTCCCTGATTACAACCGCATGGCTATCATCATCCACTCGTCCCTGGAGAGTAAGGAAGAGCCTGTCTTCTGCATTACAGAAACCTCTCTCTGGCTAGACCGGATAGGAGGCTCACGGAAAAACTTACTTTCTGTCGGAGGCAGTAGAAAGGGGTTTTGATTAATTTATTAAAAGGGGATTGAAAGCAGAAGGAAACTGGGGGTTTCTTTCCTTGGGGTCTCCTCGATTGTCCAGGTTTCCTAAAAGCACCCCCACAACCGACTGAAATCTAGAGAGAATAAAGCTGAGGCCAGGGATTTCCTACAGGAGGGGGCAGAGCCTGCAAAGACCCTCCACGCCCCAGTCAGGTCCTGGAGGTGCTCCTTTTCAGAGAGGCCTGCTTCACCAGGGTCTGCTGGTGCCTGCTGCCTTCGGCCGCATCAATGGCTTGACATGTTCTCTGCAAAGCGGAAGGACGCAGCGATTAGAAGGAAAAAGGAGCAGAGAGGGGAAAACCCAGCTCTGCACTGCCGCTGCCACCTTCAACCAAAGGTTGGCACAAGGAAGTGGTACACGTAGATCTTAGCGACTTTCCGAAGCGCCACCGGAGCCACCTGGGGAGTCTCTGCAATTCCAATTCACAGTTCCGGAGCTCACCTCCCCCCCNGACATATAAACAGGTATAAATGTGACGTTATTAATTATTGCTCATAAATTTCTTCAGAAAAGGATGTAAATTTTTTTTTGACATTGAACATACAACACAATTTCTATCCCTGGATTTTAAACGACGACGGGGCTGAAAACTTTTTAAAATGTGTTTCCAGTTCCAGAACTCTTGTGAAGGAGCCCCCCCAGCCTGCATCCCCCCGTCTCTTCAATCAAAACAGCTGCGACCTGGAAGACTCCACGGTGAGTGTGCAGCTCACCTACTGGATGCCAAAAAGCATGCATAATGCATTAGGCAACTAATTACCTTACGGTCTCTACCTGCACACCTTGGAAAGGCAGACCTTCTTCCTAGGAAGAGCCGGTGTTATGAATATTCAGCTGCCTGACCCGTTTCCCCTCCCCTCCGTTTAAGAAAACACGGGGTGCTGGAGCACCTTGGGGCAGTTCAAAGACTAATAGACTGATTACGGAAGAAGCCCGCGGGGGCTCCAGCTGATCCAAGGTTGCCTCTCCCTTCACAGGCTAACACAGGTGATCGTCCTCGGCTTCCTTTGGCCCCTTTTCCCTGGCAGCTCAGCCTGCACAGCCAGGCAAACGTCCCAAAGACCTGCCTAAGTGGTTCTCTGGTACTTTGCATTTCATATGAAGTAAGAAATCTATTTCCGCACCTGATGAAAATGCACAGAGGGTCCCCTGGCTGCTGCGCCAGCGTTCAGGCTCACTTCTCCAGACCCCGTGGTCTCACGCCACTTCCTCTGAATATTTATGAACACTTGAGATGTGAAGAGGCCTCCAAGAAGAGCTTCTACAGAGGGAGAGGGGCTCAGAGAGGAGTGCAGACACGCCAAGCGTCCCGATGCCGCCTGCAAACCGTGCTGGGCCTTCTTGTCCAGGTCGCCAAGGGTACAATTGCTCAGGTGTCTCAAATGAGGTCACCCGGTTGCCACAGCTTTGGGGGCGAGGAGAGCTGTGGACCTGCGGTTCCCAGGAACTTGGTCCTCAAACAGCATCCAGGGCCTTGAACTTCATCCACCTCCGTCTCTCGGCAGGAGCCCCTGGGAACTCAAGAGGTGGGCTTGCCTTTTAACTGTGGAAAACAGCCGGCATTCAGACGGTGCCATCGAGCCAGCTAGCGTGGCTAAGAGCTATGATGTGCCTGTCCCTCTTGGATTCTTTCTGAAGTTAGTTACAAGTCAGAATAGATGCCGGGATTCATCTGCTTGCCAACTTTACAAATTCTATCATCTTATCACTGATCCGTTTCATCAGGGGAGTTAAAGATCTGTCTTATAAAAACAAAATCTATCTCCATTGCCCCAATGACGTTCCATTCCTTCCTTCCTTCCTTCCTCCCTTGAAATGTTTGTACAGCTTCCAAGTTTGATTCAGTTATGCACCAGGCATTATTTTTCAGCCTTTAGTCAACAATAGTCTGGGAATAAAACCAAACAATTGTGACATATCGGTGCTAAGATTTTTAAAGCCACCAAACACTCCTCTGGAGAAAGCACACATGGGAAGGCCTCAGGGAGGGGGGGAACCCCAGAAAAATTTGGGGGGGGGGACAGTGTTTTTTCCTTTTTTCCCCAAAGCCATTTGGAAAAAAACTGCTTCCCCCCACTTTTTCTAGTTTTTTCCAGGCCATCCCACTCCATATTCCAGGTACATCCATGTGCAGTCACAAGAAGTGAAGTTTCGTAACTGCTACACACAGGCCTTGTGGCTTTATGCAACTTGTTCTTAGCACACAGAAGAAAGGCTGAAGTATCCGCCGTAAAAGTGAGGAAATGCTACCCTCTTGTGGAAAGCAATAAAGGCCGATTTCCGAGGGTTTGACTGGTGACTCTCAAACCACACGTCCCGGTTGCAGGTGGAGTGAATTGTGCAGCCCCATTAGCGTTCTTCGACGGCATCCACAGAAAGAGTTGCATATAAAATATTTTTATTTGGCAGTATACGTAACAAAGGTAAACACAGGAAAATAGTACATTTTCTGTGACCAACAGCCAAAGTCCCTGAGTGAACTAGGTAAGTTTGAAGACGTCTATCTGCTTCACTCTGATCTGGCCATAAGAGTTTCTGCCTCATTTAAAGTTCGACGTTAAGAGCCTAAGATTATTTAGGCATTGATCCTGCTGTTTTGTAAATAAGAGTTTGTGCTACTGTGTTTTTCCGTGGGGCAGTGATTCCAGCCTAATCTGACTGCAACTGCTGGCATATAAATCTGTATCTTGTTCGTTGCAAACTCTTTTGGCACTGAAGGATTATTCTGGGGTGTAAATAAGATGTGCTGAGATTATAAACGGAGCTAATAATGTCATTAACCAGTTCCGGCCATGTTGATGTTAATACTAGCATGTTGTGAGTATGAAGGTGCCACCTAAAAAAAAGAGAGCAATCCCCCCACCCCCCCAAACACAAATCATTGGGCCTAGGAAATATTGAAGGTGGAGCAGAAATGCCTCCATGGCAGCCCATCTGATTTACTACGTTGCCTCCAAAGAGGACTTTGGCAGGAATAGTTGGAGGAGTCTTTCTCAGAGGGGTTGAGCCACACGGGGCCTGATCCCTGGCGAGCGCCTGGGTGCTGCTGAACCCCAAGCTAAACTTCACTGGAGGAGAGATAAGGGAGCTGAGAGGCAGTGGGAGTTGAGGGTGGTGGGCTTCCAACCTCTGCGTTTGGTGGTGTGAGGTGGAACGTGTTGGCTCGTTCTTTTAAGCCTAGGTATTTTTCTGTGTCGCCAGAGAATCTGGTGGAAATGTGCAGAGAATTTGTCTTCTAAGCCAAACTTCTGTATCTCATAAATCTAAATAAGAGCGATGAACATAATTAGGCATTCTTTACTGACCGGCCTGAAGAAGGGAGGTCTGTCCCTGATTACAACCGCATGGCTATTATCGTCCACTCGTCCCTGGAGAGTAAGGAAGAGCCTGTCTTCTGCATTACAGAAACCTCTCTCTGGCTAGACCGGATAGGAGGCTCACGGAAAAACTTACTTTCTGTCGGAGGCAGTAGAAAGGGGTTTTGATT